CCGGCTCAGTTCAGTCTTCCTCGGGATTTTAGAGCAAAAACCTGTTGCCTACGTCAAAACCTTTTCCTCTGTGAAATCTTCTTTGGCCAATATATCCAACCCAGTACCTTCTCCCAGGTTTATCACTTTCATGCCAAGAGACTGTTAATAGTCTAAGGCAAATCCATGCCCTTCTTTACCGGCAGACATACAGGTCCAAATAATGACACCACACACACACACACACACACACACACACACACACAAAACAAAAAACAAAAACAAAAAAACCCACAGGTCAAGAAGTTGGTACCAAGGGGTAGCCAGTTACTTCAACTTCTTTTTCATAGGTTCTTTAGAAACTTCCCAACTGGAAATAAAAACTAACTTAAATTGCTTACCTCCTACTCCTTCCCTCTACAACCTATAATGTCAGGGTCCAAGAAAAGAATTTATTCTACTGTGTTGAATTTCCACTGAACTTATGAGCTGCACCACAAGCTGTGTTAAGGCTTTCCCAAAAATAAGTCAGTCTCATGAGAGCTTGCTCTGGGGCCCTTGCCAGAAGGTCCCAGGACAGCTGCATTAGTGTTATATTTCAACCATGTACCTACTCCATAAACTACCCTTTCACCAAGTGAGTGTTAGTAGAGTTGAAGGCAGCAGAAATAAGAAAAAGCAGACAATTTGGTGGCTACTTAAACAGAGCTTAAAGCACACATTTCTGAATTCTTGAATCTGCCTCTAAGAGGCTATGTGCCAAATTTGTCTTTCTTTTTAAAAACTCTGATCTTTTATTCCAACTCCAACTCACTCCCCCACCCCACCCCCAAACACAACAATGAATATTGCACTTGTAAATACTATAAAGGATAAAGCACAATATTTGCTTCAGTTTTGCCTCGGCGTGAATAGACCTCTACCGTGAGCTTACCTTTTCTGGACTCCTACCTCCAAATTAGGAGCCCAGACTGGCTTTTGTCCTGGGACAGTCCTGGGCACTGCCTCTTACAGGATAGAGACGCCCAGAGCACTTTCTCTCTTCCCTCCCAAACCCCCTACCCCGCTAGCCGGTTCTCACCCCCATCCCCTACTCCACACCGTCAACGGATGGGAATGAAGCTGGTCGTTAGGTGTTTATGATAAAACTCCGATTTAGGCATTTCAACGCCTTCCGAATACTCACCCACAGGCATCCGAGAGAGCCATTCCTCTCTCTAAGGACCTATAACCTTCCTGGTTCCCCAAACCCTGGATAGGGAGTAGCCGCATTCCCCATGGCCCAGAACTCAAGAAGAGCATTCCTCTCCCAGTAACACCCACCCATCCTCTGGGATTCCGGCAGGGGGACGGGGATACAAAGCACTGACAGGGGCTGGCCAGAAATGAGTTGGGGCTTCTCACCAGGAAGGCAGAGAGAATACCCTGCAGAGCGTCCAGCTTCTCTTCCTCCTCCTCCTCCTGCAGCACACCCAGGATGTAGGCGCCGTAAACAGCTCGGTCCACTCCCAGCGACTCCAACCGTCCATCTAGCCAGGACCCGAAGCAGCAGCCCACAGCGTTGCCTTCGCCGGAGGCAGGCGCGTCCACTTCACTGGGCGCCGCCATCTTGGGGTCAGGGTCCTGCCAACCCCTAGGGCGCCTAACGCAGTGCCTGACGGGCCGCGCCGCGGGCGCACTGCGCATGCTCACCAAGGAAACTCGCGCTCTTGCGTATGGAGCGTAGAACCCCGTAGCTCCATAGTGACTCGCCTGGGCGTCTTATAACTTCTAAATGGAATGCACCTTGGCCGGCACTGTCAGGTGGTCTCTGCAGAACCCTGGCAGGTGGGTATTCTTAACAGACTTCTTCACTGTTGGGGAAATTCGGAGAGATTCAGGAACTTGGCCAAAGTCAAGCAGCTGATGACTAAACAGGACGGAGCTCAACTTCGATTCCACCTCCCACTCCCACGCAGCTTTCAAGCAGGAACCTGCTGACTGTGTCCAGAATTCCCACCTTTCCCAAACTGCTCCCCTAACAATACTCAGATTTCAGGAAACCTTCCCTGATTCCGTGCCACCTGCTTTAAGACCATGCCGGTGTATTGCTTTTGCTTCTCTGCACTTCACACGATGTATTTACCGCAGACACCGACTTATAGCGGGTGCTCAATAAATGAGCAGGTAACCTCAAGTCATTTCTCGCAGTCATTCTACATTTGATCCTTTGCCAGACACTGTGCTAAGAGCCTTGGATGCATTATCTCCTGTAGCCCTTCCAACAACCCTGAGGAGATGCTTTCATTGTCCACTAATTGAAGATAAGGAAATTGAGAGAGTCACAACCACAGGGAACCTCACCAGAGACAAGAGCTTGAAACTCAGCTGACCCTGTAAAACACCTGGCTCTGGGCCGAAGTGAATTACTCAAGCACCTGGGTTGGCTTTCCCTGAATTACTGGCAGGTCACTGACCTGACTCCTCCATTCACTCAATATTTATTGATTACCCACAGCATGTCATTGCTCTTGGGCACTGAAAATATTAAAATGAATGTCACAAAGTCTCTTAAATGTGTTAATGGAGCTTGCTTTTTTTTTTTTTTTTTTTATGGAGGTTGTAGTATGATTCCTAGGAGAAGATTTCGTTAAATTTGCCTGTTGGAATAGGGTTGAAAGCTGTGAAAGTGGGGGATCCAGAGAGGCTTGCTAGTGGAGATGGGAATTACACTCCTTGAAGAATAGGAGTTCTTTAGACAAAAAGACTGGAAGAGAAAAAGAAACATCCATATACAGGGAGCCGTGTTCAAAGATTTTTTTAGGTGGCCTCCCTAGAATCATGCATGGCTTGGGCTACAGAGTTCAGATAGAAGCTGTTCAGGGGATGGCAAGGAAAAGAAAGGGAGGGGCTTGTCTACCTTGCAAAGGGCCTCTCGAGAGAGTTCTCTACTGGTATTATCTTGGTCTAATGTAAATAGACATGGAACCCTACTACTCAGTAGAAATATAGGAGGGGGCATTTAAGATCTTGCTTCCTGGCATTGCTGTTAGTTTTGGTTCAAATAAAATCTTAGGAAAATTCTCTAATCAAAGAAAGAAAAGACAAGAAATGCAGGATAGAGTGAATATTAGCCTCATGACTTCTGTGAGCTTAGAGTCAGAGTGTGACAGTAATAGAGTTAGAAGCCAGAGGCAGTCCCCAAAGACTTGCTCCTGTTTCAAGTCTTCAAACTACTAATCCAGTGGCTGTGTCACAGGTGGGGCTGAATCCCCAGTAAGGGTGGTGCAGGAGGCAGCCAATCAATGATTCTGTCATCATTGATGGTTCTATCTCTCTCTCCCTCTCCCCTCCTCTCAGAAATTAATTTATATATATATATATATATATATATATATATATATATATATTCTTTAATATTAAAAGAACATTCTGATTGTGCATGAAGAATGGATTATTTTGGGGAGAGATAGGAAGCTACTCGAGAATAGAAGTAATGTTAGAAATTGACCTAGTATTTTGGACAAGAAATTATAGTGGCCTGGACTAGGGTAGTGGCAGTGGTCAAAAGATGTCCTTTAGAGTACTAAAAGATAACTTCTAGGTTTGGGGTTTGAGCAACTGAGTGTGTAACATATTTCCAGAGATGGGGAAGGCTGGGAAGGGGCAGTGGAAAAAATGTTCTGTTTTGAACATATTAAGAATGTCCAATAGGCACTTGAATATATACATCTAGAGATCAGGGGAGAGGTTAGACTTGGGATAGAAATTCTGCTGGCATTAGCATAGGGCTGAATTGTAAGCCATGGAGTCGCATGAAGTCACTAGACAGTGTTAATAGGGAAGAGAAGAGGGCCCAGGGCTAAGGGCTAAAGCCGTGGCTACTCCAACGTTTCTCGGTGAAACAGAACCTTTGGATCCAGCAGTGGAAATTGAGGAGGAGCCACTGAAGTAAGGTGAAAAAGGTAGAAATGGAAGCAAAAAGAAGAAAGTGTTCAAGAAGGAAAAGGAGTCTGTTTTAGTGTCCTAAACGTTGGGTAAGATGAGAATACCAAAATAACCATAGAATTTGGGACCATGGAAGTCACAGTTGACCTGCATAAGTATAGTTTTATAGGAGAGGTGAGGACCAAAGTCTGATTGGATGAGTTGGGGAAAAGATGGGAGGTGAGAAATGGAGACGCCTCTTGTGAGAAATGTTTGGTTGGATGGGTAGGTAGAGAAAAGGGAGGGAGACAAAGACGTGAAGATGAAATGGGTATGAGAAATCTTCATTTAAACTGTACATGTTCTGTACGTGTTAAGCTTCTTTGATTATTTATCATCGAACTCTTGGGACTTTCAAAGTAGCTTGTGTGAAGGATCCAGGAAGGGCCCTGGCTGGTTTGGCTCAGTGGACAGAGCGTTGGCCTGCCGACTGAAGGGTCCCAGGTTCTATCCTGGCCAAGGGCTCATGCCTGGGTTGTGGGCTCGATCCCCAGTAGTGTGTATGCAGGAGGCAACCAATCAATGGTTCTCTCTCATTATTGATGTTTCTATCTCTCTCTCCCCCTTTCCCTTCCTCTCTAAAATAAATAAAATATATTAAAAATTAAAAGAATCTACCGAAACCGGTTTGGCTCAGTGGTAGAGCATCGGCCTGCAGACTGAAGGGTCTCAGGTTCGATTCCCGTCAAGGGCATGTACATTGGTTGCTGGCACATCTCCAGTGGGGGTGTGTGCAGGAGGCAGCTTGTCGATGTTTCTCTCTCTCTATCCCTCTGACGTTTCTGGCTCTCTATCCCTCCCCCTTCCTCTCTGTAAAAACATCAATAAAATATATTAAAAATAATAATAAATAAATAAATAAATAAAATAAAAGAATCCAGCGAGGGTCCAGCTTGCTGGCTATTAAAGCTTGGAGTACCTCCAGCCGAGGATCAGACCAGAGAGAAAGCGGAAGAAAAAGCGAAAGGAGCTGGAAGAAGTTACCTCGTTAAAATTGTCCTCCCAGGGCCACCGTAGGGCAGTCTCTGAGCTATTATGTTGTTCTAGGGGCGGAGCCGAGAGGAAATTTAAAACGAAGCGGCGACGGCGGCGGCCCCGGAGGATGGTACCTGCTGTGGCCGCGGGTCCGCACCGGGGGCTCTGGGCCCGGGCGAGCTCCCGGGGTCCGCGATGGTGACGGAGCAGCCTTGAAGAAGGAGCACGGAGGCCGGGGACAGCCGACTATTTGGGGGCCCCGGGAAAGGGTACGGGTGCCGGGGAAGGGAGAAGGGGCAAGAAGGAAAGCAAAAAGGGGTCCAAGGAGGTGCAGAGAGGCCCCGCCAGCGTGGTGCCGTGGTAGAGCGTCCCCCTGTGAACCGGGAGGTCACCGTTCGGTTCCCGGTCAGGCCACATGCCCGGGTTGCGGGCTGGACCCCAGTAGGGGGCGTGCAAGAGGCAGCCGATGGATGATTCTCATTATGGATGAGAATCATCCATCTCTCCCTCTCCTTTCCTCTCTGAAATCAATTTAAAGTTGTATTAAAAAAAAAAAAAGTTGTAGAGAGGATAACGGGTCTGAAAGTGGAGCGGACAGATGCAGAAGCGGGGAAGGCAGTGGGGCCCGGAGGGGTCACAGGAGCTGGGTGGACACAGGGACGGAGGAACTGAGGTTGCCAGGGCCTGGAAGGTGTCTCCGAGTTGGGATGGGGTGTGGGTAGGGATGCAGTTGAGTCTTGCTATTCTTGGTACCTGCTTTGGGGATTGTGGGGGCTTGGGAGGTGAGGTGGGGATGTGGGGGAGGGGGTAGTGGAAGGTCGTAGGCCAGTGAAGGTGATTCAGCTGGGTTTTTGTTTGTTTGTTTTTAAACATTTTTATTGATTTTTCTTTTTTCTTTTTTCTTTTTAGAGCGAGAGGAAGGGAGAGGGTGAAAGAAAGGAAACATCGATGTGAACGGAAGGAACATCCATGGGCTGCCCCCTACAGGCCCCCTACTGGGGATCGAGCCCGCAACCTGGGCGTGTGCCCTGATGGAATCACCAGCGACCTTTCCGTGCACCAAAGGACACTCGACCTACTGAGCCACACAGGCCAGGACTGCTTCAGCTGTCTTGTCCTTCAGGGACCATTGCCTTGAGCTGGAGAGTTCAATGGCTGAGAGTAGGTTCTGGGCTCCGGACCTAGGTGCGTAACAGGTCAAAACTAGGGATGCAAGGTCAAATGTGCTACTCCTGCCCCAGAGCCTCTTGGGAGGAAAAAGGCGAGAGATGTTAGCCCTGTTGGGTTTTTTTTGTTTTTTGTTTTTTTTTTAACGATTTGTGGGTTTGTGTGTGACTTACAGGACTCTCTCAGCTCAAGCTTCTCACTGTGTTCGTCTTTGTTGTTTCTTAGGGGCTCAGCTGGGGGTGTCCGGTTGTCTGAAAAAATGCCGGAAGAGCTCACCAGATGCTAGGAGGCAGCAGCCCTTTTCTGGAAAGTCCTTTTACTTGGATCTGCCTGCTGGCAAGACTCTCCAGTTTCTGTCAGAGGCAATTCAGCAGCTGGGCGGGGTATGTTTGCTTCTCTCCGGGGTCCCCGGGTGGGAGGGCAGGAGCCAGAGAAGGACTATACCTGTCTTCCAGGTATTGCTACATTTTTCCAAAGCACTTTTCAGTATAAGCCACTTTTTAAAATAAAGTTACTATTGTTCTCCTAATTGGGGGGGGGGGGGGGGGATTATCTGCTCATTCTAGAAATGTTAGAAAACGTGGAACTGCTGCAAGTGACAACCATCGTTTTGATGTATTTATTTTTTCCTGTAGTCTCTCTTTCATTTTCTTTCACAACTTTCTTGAGATACAGTTCACCCATTTAAAGTGAATAATTCAGTGGTTTGTGTGTGTTTTGGATAGTCACAGAGATGGCCAAGTGTAATTAGACAGTGAACTTTAGAATATTTTCATCACCCTAAAAAAGAAACTCAGACCCATGTCAGTCATTCCCAATTTCCTCTCAATACCCCCAACCCTGAGCAACCTTTTATCTTACTTCTGTAGTCTGTCTTTTTTAATGCTTATTTTCTGTGTAGCTATGATCATAAATACATTTTTATTACCAACTTTTTGTTGGCACTTCCCTATCATTATTGTCCTTCATATGCATTATTTGTAATGAAAATATAATATTCTTTTTTTTTTTTTTAATATATCTTATTGATTTTTTACAGAGAGGAAGGGAGAGGGATAGAGAGTTAGAAACATCGTTGAGAGAAAACATCGATCAGCTGCCTCCTGCACACACCCTACATGTGCCCGCAACCAAGGTACATGCCCTTGACGGGAATAGAACCTGAGATCCTTCAGTCCACAGGCCGACACTCTATCCACAGAGCCAAACCAGTTTCAGCTATAATATTCTTTTGAGTAGATTGTTAATTTACTTAACTTACCCTATGGCCATTCAGATTATTTCTAAATCTGAGCTCTTACAAATAACACTGTGGTGAACAACTTTGGGTAAAGAGCATTTACTGGGTTTGAGTCCTTTTTAAAAAATCTTTTTAAAGCAGATGTATGTCATATGGAACGTTTAGTCAGGGTGGGCATGGACAGCTCTTGTGTTTAGAAAATAGGATGATAGTGCTTGGCCCAAGAGCGGTAGGTCAGTGGGGAAAGTGCTTGAAGAGACTTAGGATGCAGACTCTTCGCCGTCAATCTAACAGAAACTTAGGGATGTAGAGACTCAGGACTGAATGACCATCATCTACCCAAACTGGCCCCAAAATACATTTTGAACTTTTAGTCTTTCCTATCATTTAGCCTTTGCTATATAAAAAACAAGCAAAAACACCCCAGGATTTGGCCTTAAAACAAGTTATTTCTCACTATTCTCTGGGTTGGCTTGGTGGTTTCTCTTGCAGCCACATTTGGTGAAGGGTTAGCTGGGCTGGAAGGACCAAGTTGACCTCACTCACGCAGCTGGCAGTTGGTGCTGGCTGCCTCTGTGGCTTCTCATACGTATGAGAAGCTTCATCCATGCATTGTATGCATGTATACTGTCGTGTGCATATACAGTAAGCTAGGCCAGCCAGTGGTCTCAGGGTTTTCCCAGAAAGTGAAGGGAGAAGCTACGAGGCCTCTTGTAGCCTAGGCTCTAAGAACTCACGTATTTACACCATTATATTGGACAACAGGAGTCCTGTTCAAGGGGGTGAAGAATAGGCCTCTACCTCCTGATAGAAAGAACAGCAAAGTCACACTGCAAATAAGTGGATACACTGGGATGGGAGGAATGTACAGCCATTAAACTACCTACCAGCTCTGGCCGGTTTGCCTCAGTGGATACAGTGTTGACCTGCGGACTGAAGGGTCCCGGGTTCAGTTCTGGTCAAGGACACCTACCTTGGTTGAAGGTTCCCTGGCCCTGGTTGGGGTTTGACATGGATGTTTCTCTCTCTCCCTCTCCCTTCCACTCTTTAAAAATCAATGGGAAAATATCCTTGGGTGAGGATTAACAACAAATAAATACAGCTGTCTGGTGTAAGCAGTGCTACCCCAGCTTTCACATTTTAGGACGGTGTCTACGTGGGGGCCCAGTGCAGCGCTGCGTTTGGTCTATTTAAAGACATTGATTCTGGAACGTCTAGCAGCCAAGATTTCCTCTCCAGCCTCTCGGTATCGATGATTCCACATCTGCCTTTGGGTTTCAGCCATCTCTGTGATCTGGTTCCAGGTCATTGAGGGTTTTCTGAGCAAAGAAGTAAGCTACATCGTGTCCAGCCGCAGGGAGGCGAAGGCAGAGAGCAGTGGGACGGGCCACAGGAGCTGCGCCAGCCCCAGCCCCGGCGAGGTCAGAGTGGAAACACCGTCCATGGCTGACGCAAAGGGCAGCCACCCCAGGCCTCCCCAGAAACCCGCAGACTTGGTAAGGACCTCGTGGAGCCCTAGCCAGTGTTTCTCAATGGGTAGAGCATCGCCCTGCGGACTGAAGTGTCGCAGGTTCGATTCCGCTCAAGGGCACGTACCTCAGTTGCAGGCTCGATCCCCGGCACCGGTCAGGGCACCAGTGGGAGGCGACCAATAGCTGTGTCTCTCTTACATATTTATATAGGATAGCCACTTCCCCACTCCATGGCTCTAGCCTTTGTTTTTGCCAAATTACAGAAGGTAGACAGAGGTACTCCTTCAAGCCGTAACTTTTAAGATGTTTTAAAATTGTGGTGAAATGTACATAAAAATATGCCATTTTAACCTTTTTTTAAGTGTACAGTTCATTGGCATTAATTATATTCACACTGTGGTGTAACCATCACCACTTTTTTGTTTTCCAAACAGAAACTCTATAACCATTAAGCAATAGCTTTCCATTTCCCTTCCCTACAATTCCTTTCTGTCTCTATGATCTTGCCTATTTTAGATACCTCATATCTGTGGATTCACTGATATTTCTCCTTTTGTTTGTAGCTTATTTGACTTAACATGTTTTCAAGGTTCATCCATGTTGTAGCATGGTTAAAATGGCAGCTCCTGTGTTGAGTGTCTGCCCCCTGGTGGTCAGTGCATGGCAGAGCGACCAGTCAGGTGGTCAGACATTTAGCATATTAGCCTTTTGTATAGATAGATAGATAGATAGATAGATAGATAATCCTTTTTTAAGGGACTGCAGAGTCAGGGGTTCAGAAACAATAGGAGGGTCCTCTGAACCAGAGAGGGCTTGTTCGAATTGGCCTACATATAAATGTGGAGAGTGCAGAGACCCTTAAAGGGAAGTCTTAGAACATTTGTCACACTTAGATCTCTGGTGAATTCAAAAAAGTCCTCCACGAGGGTCCAGGCCACAGCATGGATGATCTGAGCGTGGGGGTGGCTTACCTTTACCTCCAAAAGGCTCTAGGCTCTTTCGGCCACTTCTGAGCTGTGGTTGCTCAAAGTTTTCCAAGACATGACTCCTGGCCAGCACCCGTGTAAATGTCTGTCTTTGCACAGGTGGTGTATATAACATCTCTCATTGCTCTCCTGTCAGGTTCCTCTGAGCAGAGGGAAGGAGTTACTGCAGAAGGCCATTAGAAATCAGGTGAGCGGAGGGTCCCAAGGTTCTTCTGAAGTACAAATGACCCTCACACAACACAGATTCACTTATATGTAGGCTTCTCCCCCCCCCCCCCCCCATTAATACTTGTATTGTTTTGATCCATGGTTGGGAGTGCGCAGGTGTGAATGGCCAATGGTATTCGTTGACCTATGCCATTTTATATAGGGAACTTGAGTATCCGTGGATTTTGGTATCTGTGTGAAGTCATGGAACCAATCTCCAGTGAATCCCCAGGCACAAGTCTTGTGTGGATTTTCAGCTACACAAGGCTCAGAACCCCTTATTGCTGCACTGATCAAGGGTCAACTCTACTAACACCCAACCTATGAGATGTATTGTTGTTTCCTTCCTAAAAATGAAGAAGTGGGGCTCAGAGAAGTTAAGTATTATAATTTGTCTAGAGTCACCTAGGGTGTCAGTGGTAGAGCCAGGATTTGACTCCTTGATTTTTCTGACTCAGAGTCTACCAAGAAAATTTTGGAGGATGCTGTGGGATATGAAGCTAGATTTGTAAACCTATTTTCTTAAAGATTTTTAAATTTTTTTACTGACTTTAGAGAGAAAGGAAGGGTGGGAAGGGGAGAGAGAAACAAACATCGATTTGTTATTCCACTTATTTATGCATTCGTTGGTTGATTCTTGTATGTTCCCTAACCAGGGATCGAACCCACAACCTTGGCATATCGAGACAATGCTCTAACGAACTGAGCTACCCAGCCAGGGCCAGACCGTAAACCTTTTACAAAGTAGCTGTTTATACCTTTTGTGAGAACCCAGAACCATCCAAGTTAAGTGGCAGGAGAGGAATTAATTAACGTGACTTTGTGAGAGGAGTCATTAAAGTGACCTGAGGATGGATGCATTGGCGGTGTGCGGGAGGGTGATGTCACATTTGGGCAGCAGGGCAGGAAAAGTGTGGCCAGCATAGCTTCCTGCTATGATGGTGATTGTCACCGGTATTTATTACTCACTGTGAGCTTTCTGCCCAGAGACTCTCTTATAAGCGTGTGTTCCTTCCTGGTCACAAGGTGGCCGGAGCAGAGTGTGCAGGTAGACCAGCAATCCATCCCGTCCAGATGTGGCCCGCCCACGTGGAGGGTTGGTGTCCAGAGCTGCCAGAAGCCAGGTCGGCCTGCCCCGTAGTTTCGGGCCCTGTGGCGGCTCCTGACGCTGCTGTCTTTCCAGGGGAGCAGCAGCGGAGGCGGCAGCGGGAGTCCCAGCAGCCTCCTGACCAGCGCCCGCTCCTGGGGCGTGAAGATTCTGCATGTGGACGGTACCGTCTGCCCGGGGCTCCTGCGGAGGGCAGAGTTGGTGACGGATCGGGAATGTCTGCTTTTAGAGGGAGCGGAGGTGTAAGCTGGCTGGCAGCCAGGCATGCTCAGTCACCGTATTGATCCACAGAGGTGGGAGGGTGCGGACCAGCTGTAACAATGGCAGAGCGTATGTACTAGAAGGTGCTATCCTGTTTAACCCACTCAGCGGCACGCCTCAAGCTAACGCGGTAATCATGTTTTACAAAAGAGGAAATAACCTTGTTATCCACGGCCGCTTACCGGCTATTTACTCCGTGCTGGGAACTGCCTCATTTAATCCTCACCACAGTCCTCTGCCGAGGGCCCTTGTGGAAGATTGAGCCTTGGGGATTAAGTGCACTATCCATAGTCTCACCAGGAGTGAGTAGTGTGATCCACGTTCCAGCCTGGTTTGGCCCAACTACACCTCATTTCTTTCTTTTTTATGGGGTCGCCTCACACCTGTTCGCAGGTTGTAATAAGTTTGCACCAGAACAGCTGTCCTGAGTGGGCTGGCAGTGTCTGGCCCTCATACCCAGCTCCACTGCTTATTGGCTTTCCTCTGATCCTTGAAGGGGATTGGTCCAGATCCAGCCTGAGATCTGCCAGAGAGATAGAAAATCAACCAACCGCCTTGGCCGGTTTGGTCAGTGGTTAGAGCGTCAGCCCACAGACCAAAGGGTCGAGGGTTTGATTCTGGGTCAAGGGCATGTACCATGGTTGCAGGCTGGATCCCTGGCCCCCGTTGGGGCATATGCAGGTGGCAACCAATTGATGTGTGTCTCTCACCTCAATGTTTCTCTGTCTTACCCTCTCCTCCCCCCTCTCCAACGTTTAAAAAACAAAATCGATAAGCATATCCTCCTCGGGTACAGATTTTAAGAAAAGGAGCTGTAGTCAGTGCTACAAAAGAGCAGGAAGCCGGGATAGGTTCTTTTCCAGGGACAGAGGACCCAGCCCTTGCTTTTACCGGCAGGTGCACAGGTGACATGTAGCCAGAAGGGGGCAGGCAAGGCTGGTGTGACCCACTGTGCCAGGCCTGGGGAGACTAGTCCCCAGGACGGGGCTCTGCTGGGGAAATGAGAGAGGAACCCTTAGCCACGGCCCTCTGTCCTCCGCAGACATGGTGATGCAGGTGCAGCAGCTCTCTCTAGACGCCGTGTGTGTGAGGAAACAAGGGCCCCAGAAGCCAGAGGTAGGTCATCCTGCTGAACCGAAGCGAAGTGGACGGTTTGCAAGCTGATGACAGCTTTAGTAAATCTGTGCCCACCGAGCCCTCTGTCCCTGGCCGTTCAGGAAAAGTAAGAGTGCGGCCTCTCGGTTAGCTCATCCTGGGTGCTTAGCCTGTCCTCCTCTCCCCGCGTCACCTCACATCCCTGTGACGCACTGGACGTTCACTGCCGCCTGGCCTCCGGAAAACAGGAATGCCCCGGCCTGGCCAGCCGCCTTCTGGGGACATCTCTCAGCTGGGAATGAGCCTGCAGACAGCACGGGTGGGGCAGGGCTGGCAGGGGTGGTTTGAAATAGCTGCCACAGTCCAAATCCTGGTTTGGCTTTTCCTTCCTTTGCTGGAGTTAGAACTGCGTGTGTCATATCCAGAGAGCCCGGGCTAACTTACAGCCACGAGCTCTCACCAGCCAGAATCCGAGGACGGACTAAGCCCTGCAGGTCCGCTCAGTGCCTGGCACCCAGGAGCAGGACCACGAGCAGTAGAAAGCCACATGCACACCCAGTGGGGCACTCGGCCTCAGCACCCCTTGCCCTGCACCCTCTGGTCTAGGCATCTCTGGGAAGCAAAACAGATGGTCAGTAGCTTTGCATTGTCGTAATTGTGAGTCTCCCCAACTTCTGTTCCTGGCCACCCCCTCCTGAGATAAGCAGTGTGAACAGTTCGCCAGGTGTCCTTCCAGGATGCTGTGCATGTGCAGCAGAAATTCTCCCCTTTGCCCTTTCTGGTTTGGGCAAAATAGAGCATCGGCCTGCGGACTGAAGGGTCCCAGGTTGGATTCCGGTCAAGGGCATGTACCTTGGTTGCGAGCACATCCCCAGTAGGGGGTGTGCAGGAGGAAGCTGATCGATGTTTCTCTCTCATCAGTGTTTTTAACTCACCCCTCTCCCTTCCTCTTCTGTAAAAAATCAGTAAAATGTATATATTTTTAAATTCTTCCTTTTTTTACACAAACGCAGTGTTTTTACTTGGCTCTGTTCACTTAATGATCCATTGTGCCGGTGCTTGGGAGTCTTCGGGAGTGAGCTCTGGGCCGTCTGCAGATGTGGGAGGGGATGTGAAGGCTACTCTGGTGTCTTTGCCCGGATGTGTGGCCGGAGGAGGGTTTGCAGCCATCCGTTCACTGGCTCTCTCATCTTGCCCCACCCCCAACCCTAAATGATTTCTTATTTTTTTCCCATTTAGTTTTTTTTAAATATCATTACTGATTTCAGAGAGTAAGGAAGAGGGAGAGAAGAGAAACATCAGTGGTGAGAGAGAATCATTGACCCGCTGCCTCCTGCAAGCCCCCCCACTGGGGATCGAGCCCATAACCTGGGCATGTGCCCTGACCGGGCACTGAACCAGGACGTCCTGTCCTGGTTCATAGGTCAGTGCTCAAGCACTGAGCCGCACGGGCTGGGCAGCTGCCATTTATAAAGTCAGCGGGAGATTCACACACAAGCTCACCCTTCATCGTGTCCCTGGGGAGGCGGAGGGAGCCGTTGTACTCAGGTCAGTCCTAGCTCAGAACCCAGCTGACAACAGGAAGCAAAATGGGGCAGGCTCACAGCGACTCAGCTCGCCAGCCCGCTTCCCCGAACCCCTTAACCTGTTTTCCTTTCCATTTAGGGAACGTGTCCCGCAGCGTCAAGAACACGGAAAGGTCAGTGTGGGAGCTGTTCCTCCTCTAATCGCAGTCCCTCCCCTCCTAAATGCTTCCCGCGACTCCCTCTGTGGCAGCATCTGCTCCCTCTTCTGCGGCAGGAAGCGGGCCCAGGTTGTGTGGTCCCGTCGTGTTTCCAGGGCCTGGGTGGGCTCCGGAGAGGGCCTGGGTGGGCTCCGGAGAGGGCCGTGGCAGAAGAGGGGCCTCCCTGAGCGAATCCAGAGCTGCGGGGCTGGGGCTTCCAAAGCCAAGCCCCCCTGCGGTCACGCTGGCTCCTGGCCCCGGCTGCTCGCGCCATCCGGGAAGTTCCGCGTCCTCTCCCTCTGATTCAGCCGGGAGTGGGCAGGGGACAGCTGCCTGCCGCGCGCAGAAATGCCAGCTCCCTGAACTGGCAAACAGGCAGATTGGCAGGCCGGCTCCGCTCCCTCGGACAGCGGGAGACTCTCCTCCGGGTGATTCTCCCAGAGATGCTCTTTACGTGGCATTTTCTCGGGCACAAGCAGGAGCTAAAGAAGAGGCACTTGGCACCTCCCGTGCTCGAAATTGGAGGAAACCTGTGGGGGAACGGGTTGTATAACTGTCTCCGTTAATTAGACAAGGACTCGCCCGGAGAGAAGTAATTACCGGGAGAAAGGCAGCTTTTTTCGCGTGGAAGCTGTGAGGTGCCGGCTTCTTGGAAGATTCGGAGGCTGTTAGTTCTGGCCAGGCTCCCGGCCCCTTGGGCAGGACGGACTTCTGGTCACCGAGGAGGGGAGAGCTGGTTCTCGAAGCCTCCGGGATGTGGTGCCCTGGGAGGCCACTAGCCGGGAGGGGGCGAATCTCCTGAGTAACTGCCTCCAGATCTGTCCTTCCAGGACCCTTGGCCCTATTCTGTTCATGAACCAGATTTCACTTTTGATGTTTGTTTGTTTTTTTACCATCCTTCTGCTAAGATCTCTAACACTCTTTAGTTCTCTCCCTCTCTGCTCCTCCCCGCCCCCAAATAAGCCAGGGTCCTCCTGGGGAATTCTGGGAGTGTTCGCAGGCCCCTCAGGACTGTGACCTGGGAGGAAGGGTCAGGGAAGCAGCTTTTAGCAGAAAGCAGCAGGGGCCGGATCTCTCCCCCTCAGTGCAGTGTCTGGTGGTCGATTCCAGCCTCCGGGACCCACGTGAGGAGGCTCCTCCATCCTGCGGAGGGAGGGCATGCCAGGCCCCCGGGCACCCTGCACCTCTGCCCCCAAAGTGGACCTCTCCCAGGGCGAGGCGGGAGGGGGAGCGGCTGCCTCACTCCCAAGTGGGAAGGCGCACCTTGGGGCAGCACTTCCTGTGTGCCGCCCCGTGCGCCCTGCACCGGAGCAGACGGATGGCTGATGTGTGCCCTCTTCCTTCCCAGTGGCCAGACTGAAGGCGCCGTTCCTCAAAATCGAAGATGAGAGCAGGTGAGTGGGGCCTCCTCCCCCTCCGCTCTCCCCCACCAGGCCCGCACGGAGGCCAGGTCCCCGCTGAGCCCCTCAGCCCTGCACCCGTGTCTTCCCAGAAGCCACTTTCTCCCGTCATGGAGAAGTCTCGCGTAGACCAGGGGAGACCTGAGGGCAGCTGGCACTCCCCTTGGTATGAATCAGGTCAATGATCCTGTGTGTGAATTACTTCCTCCTCACACTCTGCTTTTATGATCCCATTTGCTCCTGAGTGTATGCTGACACTTTATGGAATGGTTGTCAGACCCAGTGCAGGGCTAGTGCAGTCATCTCAGCGGAAGTGAGGGTGCTGGGGTGGTGCTGGGATTCCCTTGCATTGGAAACGCTTCTGTTTTGCGGTGCAGGGCTCTCTCCTGGCACGTGCCATTTCTCAGTGGGAGAGAGTCCCTCTTCCTAGTGGGGAAACTGAGGTCAGAGGAAGGAAAGACTTGCACATACCTACTTCACTAGCTGAGGCTAGAAGGTATACTAACTGTCCCATCTGGCCCCCTCTCTGCTCTGCCCTGTCCACCATCGGGACCCCTTTGTACCTGGAGCAGGAGAGTCCATTGGTGATAACCTGATGAGCTGTGAGCCACCCGGGTTATCGCTGACTCTCCAGTAAGCACTAGATCAAAGTCCCAAAGAAAAGGGTTTTGAAAAAAAAAGCTCGTCTGGACCTGGGACCAGAATTTTCTGGGTCCTTCAGCCTCATGCAGGGCAGCCAGAGACCCAGCCCTGTGAGCCTGGCATGCCTGCCCATCCCCCAGGGGGGCCTGCATTCCCTTCTCTTTCCCCTGCACAGCACAGTACACACGTGGCCTTGGTGGCCCAGAGTGAGTGGAAAGAGCATAGGACGGCAATGAGGTGCTATCCCGTCCGGTTCCGGTGGGATGGGGTCCACGTGTGCCAATCCCAGCCCCTTCACAAGCAGTTAAACCTAAGTCGTCATGACTCATACGGCAGCTGAGAGACACTGTCAGTGCCTCAGGACCTCTCCCCGCACATGGCAGCACAGGTGATGCCGCTGTCGCAGGAGCATCAGAGGCAGCAGAGGAGATCCAGGGGAGCTGAGGTTCCTTGTGATGCTTTTTATGTGCCCTTCTGAGTCAGGTGCTCTTCAAAGCCTGGTAGCCTTTCCAACCTCAGCATCCAGCCTCCTAAGCAGGAACAGAACAACTTTGAAGAGAAAGAAACGGGGTACCAGGGCTGTGGAGGGCACCCTTTTCCCTTTAGGGGTCCAAGAAACCTGTTCACTCCTGAGGCCACAGGGCTGTCACTGCCCTCACCCCGAGCACAGGCCGGGGCACCAGACTCGGGGTGCCCGCAGTTACATCACGGGGTTTGCTGAGTGTCCACACAGGATCCGATCTGGCTCCGAGCTGGGACGTGGGCAGACACCAAAGCACCCAGTGTGGTCTGACCCTCCGTAACCTGCTCTGGCCTCCTTTCTGTTCAGAACTCTCCCCTGCAGAGGGGGCCGAGGACCAGCCCAGAGCATGTTCCGCTGTCCGTGGAGCAGGGACATCACTGCCGAGGTTCAAACATCCTTCTGTTTAGATTCTGTGAGGCCAGAGTCCCCCAAGGTGGTTCTGGGTCGGGAGACAAAATGGAAGGGCCGGGAGATGTGGCTTCCGGTCTGACGTTGGCCGCATCCGGGCTGTGAGCTCCTGGGCGAGTTCCCGAGCCTTTTGTGCTTCGTTTCCCGACGTGTCCACTCTGCGCGGAGCTCGGGGTGGCTGCTGCACTCCGATGAGGCAGGAGGAAGTAGACGGAGAGCATAAGTAATTTCACCTACTAAGGCTGCTGGGAACTGTGTTCTAGAACCTAGAGATGTGCGGGTGGGAGTCCACTTTATCCGGATTGGGACCTAGGGATTTGGGCTGGCACCCTTTCCTTCCCACTATAGTCACCGTGGAAGTTTTCTGTGTTTCAGGAAGTTCCGTCCTTTCCACCATCAGTTTAAATCCTTTCCTGAACTTTCTTTTCTGGGACCCAGAGACGCAAGTCCCTTTGAGGCCCTGACGCTCCCGGGCAGCTCGCGCCATCCCAGGTGGGTCTTTCCGGTTCCTGATGAACAAGGGCTGGTGACAGGTCAAGGTCCTTCCCCTCGGGGGCCTGCTGCTCAGGTTGGGAATGGCCATGTGTCAGCTCCTCAGGCGAAGTCTATTCTGGGAACTGAGCCCAGAGAAGAGACACACAAGGAGTGTAATCCGTTTTACTTGGTGTTCTCCGGCCCTGCTGAAGACGGACTGGTGTCCAGAGGACAATGGGCTGGTTTCTGAAACTCAAATCTGCAGACCACCTTCCATCAGAGTCCCCTGAGGTCCCATGAAAAGTGGTCTCTGGACCCACTTCACACCTCCGGAATCACAGTCTCTGATTATGGAGCCCCAAAGGCTGCATCCTCAGGAGCTCCCTGGGCGATGGGATGCACATCGAAGTGGCGAACAGGCGCACTGGTGTTCCTGCTCTGCGGGTGTGTGACGTGGGCCTCGCTAATCAGCGGGCAGGAGTGCGGCTTGCTGCTGGACTAGGTGCCTCAGGGACCCTTTAATTTCTGGGCCACAGGAGGACAACACAGAGCAGACTCAGCCGAGAGGACCCAGGGCCGAGGAGAGCCTGCTGCCCACCAGCACAAAGGAAGCAGTGCCCATGGGAGGGAAAACAGAACGGGGTGTGGCAGGAGGCAGAGGGGAGGAAGAAAAGAAGGAGCTGAGGTGAAGTTCAGGTGCCCTTCACATCTTTTCTAGAAGGCGCAGGGATACCAGAGCGCCAGCCAGGGGCTGCGGGCTGCGGCTGGAAGGTGGTGCTATACCTGGGAATAGCAGAGCAGCCTCGGGATTGTAGAAGGAAGATGGTGAACAATGAAGCTTTGGTACCTGCATGTGAGAAACAGGGAGGGCTTTGGCCAGGGTTCCGTGTGTGTGTGTGTGTGTGTGTGTGTGTGTGTGTGTGAGAGAGAGAGAGAGAGAGAGAGAAATCTGGGAGGAAATGTTTGATTTTTTTTATTTATTTAAAAATGATTATTTTGGCCCTGGCCGGGTGGCTGAGCTAATTGGAATATCATCCCGGACACCAAAAGGCTGCAGGTTTAATTCCCAATCAGGGCACGTACGGGAGGTAACCAATCAGTCTCCCCTCCCCTCTCTCTCTTTTTCCCTTTCTCTCTCTAAACATATCCTTAGGTGGGGATTAAAAAATAAAAGATTATTTTGGTTCAAAATCCAAGCATTACAAAGGGTTTAGAGTAGAGTCTCCCCGGCCGTCCTCTAACTCCAGATCGCGGTCTCTCTCCAGAGACGGCCTCCGTCCACAGAGGTGCATGGTGTCTGCGCCCTCGTCCTCCCTGGGGGCAGCACAGTGTTGGCTGCGCTCATCTTGCTTTGGCCTCTTACTGTGTCTTAGGTTAATTTCTGTTCGTACCTGAACAGCATCCTTATTCCCTTTGATGGCGGTAGTGAATAGTCTTGTTAAGGAAAATTTGATTGTGTAAGTATATTTGCAGAATAAATTCCTAAAAGTGGAAATGCTGGGTCAAAGGGTACCTGCATTTATAATTTTGATAAATGCGGCCAAATTGCTTTATGTGGAGATGATGCCAGTAACCGCTCTGACGCACCTCCCACCACACCCCCCACCTTCCCTCCCCCCCCCCCCCCCCCCCCCCCCCCCCCCCCCAGAGAGCCTGTTTCCATATCCCGTGGCTAACGCTGAGCTGTCAGGCTTGTTGATTTATGCCAATCTGATAGATTAAAGACTGTTATCTCGGTGTGATTAGAATCTTCATTTTTTTCTCATTACGAATGAGGTTCAGTCTGTTCTGATGGATCGTTTGAATTTCTTTGTGTGCATCTTCTGCATGTCATTTGTCCATTTCTCTATTCAGTTATTAATCACTTTCTTAGGGGTTTGTAAGGAGCCCTTCCTATGGCGGGGAAATGCTATCGTGCTGGTTATAAATAACACGGCCCCCACAGCCCCAGTTTGTGGGTTGTCTTTCAACTTTGCTTGTTTTCTGCTGTGCATACATTTTTAAAAATGTGCATGTAGTTAAATTTATCACTTTTTCCCTATGTTTCCTGGGTTTTGTGTCATACTTAGAAAGTCCTTAAAGGGGAGTATTTTAGATTTGTTGAGTTTGCCCATAGCAAAAGGGAACTGAAATTCAGATAGAGATTTGAAAGTCCTTAGCTAAGATTGCGGCTGTGCAAGGGACCTGTAAGCACAGGGACAGACCGAGTCCAGGGACATTTGAGGTGAGGGAGGTCAAAGGCAGCGCAGCCCCCTTGTTGCTGTTGAGGCCGGTCCCCTCTCATTTTCAAGTCGAATGAACGAGGGTCTGGGTCTGAGCACAGAGCTAGGACTGTTCTTCCAAGAGTTCTCGCTGTCAGCCGCCACCACCCATTGTCACCTGTGGTTTGAGATGTGTGGAGGGAGAAGGGCAGAGCTAGGACAGGGTGCCCCTAGGAGGTCTCAGCTTCCTCGTCGCCCCTCCTGCCATCCCTGCGCCTGCCCAGCTCCGTGGCCCTGAGCAGTGAGCACCTTCCCCCTGTACCCTCCCCAGGGGACGCCAGGACCGAGAGCCGCGCCTCCGCCCGGCCGCCCGCACCGCGCTCAGGAGGAAGAGGGGCTTCTGCGAGTGCTGCCAGCAGGCCTTCGAGGAGCTCCATGGGGTGAGCCCTGCCCTGAGCAGATGCTTCCCAGGCTGTTCTGAGAGCCGCTCCCGCCCAGTCTCCCTGTGTGGCGGGGTCTGCTGGCCCCCCCCCCCTCCCCGTCTGACGCTGTGCCTCCTCTCAGCACCTCCAGAGCGCCCGGCACCAGGCCTTTGCCCTGGAAGCCCACCCGTACGCAGAAGTCGATCGGATCATCGCCCAGCTCAGCCACAGCTTTGCGGAGATCCCCTCCCCCGCCAGCCTCCCCAGGTGAGCGCCCCGCCAGCGCCCGGCCTGCTCCGCCCTCACTCCTCTGCGGCTGCCTCTCTAGGTGGGGAGGGACCTCAGGGGTGACAGCATGGGCCAGGCTGTGCTGTTTTCCCTTCCCTCACCCTTCTTTCCAGTCACCTTCTGTTTGGTTTACTGTAGAAGTGGGTGGGTGGGTGGGTGGGAGAGACCGCCATGGGTGTGTAGCCTGCTGGGTTGGAGCCAAACCAGAGAGCGGCTCCCTTCCTGACGTGAGAGCCTTGCCCCAGCCGTGGGGCTGCAAGGGCCTGGCCTTCTCCAAGTGTGGAAGGACACTCTGGTGGGTGAAGAGCAAGGTCTTTCTGCCTCTAGAAGTTACCCCAGAAGGGGATTGCCGGGGTTCCGTGGAATTCCAGGGTTCTCTGAGCTTCCACCAAGGAAGCTCAGCCCTCGTCTCCCCCTCGGCCTCTTCCTGGGCCCAGCCTGGACGGCCAGGCTCTGGGCTGCCGCCTCCACCCACCGAAGGGCCCAGCCTCCTCTGGGAAGTTATTAAAAGGAACAGCCTGGAACTTCAGGCCATCCCTGACCACAGGCCCCAGAGCTCAGAGAGGGGCAGCACTGGCCACTGCTGCCCGTCAGACCCCAAGAGCGAGCGTTTCCCGGGGCCCAGAGCGGGCAGGTCTCTTTGGCACCCCAAACCCCAGCAGGGCAGCACCATGCACGCCCCACCCTGCCCTCAGCCGGCCCGGGAGGACCCCGCTTACTGCCCACAGGGTACGTCTGTCCCCACAGGCAGCCAGGCTCCCCGGCTTCGGATCGTGACCCTCTGTCTCCTGAGACTGCGCCTCCCGGCCAGCCCTCGTGTGGCCGGGCAGCATCTCCCAGGAGGAGGAAGGGGGACGGTCACCCGGCCCCTGGCATCCACCAGCAGGATGGGCTGGCGGGCGGCCGGAAGTCACCAGCTGAACTCGTGGGGGCTGGTGAGATGCTCGGACCAGTAGCGAGCTGCCAGGACCTGGGGGGCTCAGGTGATGTTGCTATGGACCCCCCAAGGGCAGTGCTGTCGAGAAGCCCCACTTCTCGCTGCCTCCTGACCAGCTCTGACTTTGCCGACCTCTCCTCTGGCCCAGACCCGGCACGCGTCGGCCACAAGCGGAAGGTTCGGTTCCCCAGTGGCAATGCCGGGAAGAGGCCAGGGGTCTCCTGGCCACAGGCCTCCCTCTCTGTCTCCGGAGCCCTCAGCCCCTGCAGCACCGGGACCACCGATGGCAGACATCTCTTCTCCCTGCCCCTCCCAGGCCCCGAGTCCAGGCCTCTGACCTCGCCCCTGCCCTTGTGCTACCCACAGACCAGCCTCTCCCTCCCAGACCCCTTCCCCTGGCGGCCCTCAGACAGGCCAGCAGAGCTCTGGGCCACACAGGCCCCCTGGCCTGGAGGAGGAGATGCCCCGGGCTCTGAGGGCTCTGAGGGCTCTGAGGGTCCAGCCCCCGGCCCCAGCCCTCAGCAGACTGACCGGCTTCCCAGCTTCTCGGCTGCTCAGGGCCGGCTGTCCGCCCACCTGCACTCAGCCGCAGGCACGTAACCCCCAGGGGGGCTGCAGAGAGCAGGCTACCTCCCCCTCCTCTGCCTTCGGTGGGGGAGCCAGCCTCTGCCAGCCCTGCCTCCCTGTGTCCCAGCACCAGCAGCAAACTGCTCCTGTGAGGCCCCAGGGCACGCAGCTCTTCCTGGGGCCGGACAGCTCCCAACGTGAGGGCCAGGGGCACAGGTGTAAGTTATACCTCTGCTGACGGCTGCTCACCCAGCCAGGCAGCCAGATACACCGAGGGGCAGCGCCCGGCCTCACTGATGGAGACAGAAGGCCAAGTGAACAGCTGTTGTCATGACCAAGTGCAGGGTGGACCGATCGAGTCCTCCCACCCATCCAGTCTTCAGGTGGAACCGAGCGAGCCAGCTTGAGGGCTGCCCTCTCTTACCCAGATCTCCAACCATGTTCCCCACTGGCAGGGACCTGTGCTGGGCTAGCCCGGCCATAGCCAGCTGCCCACTTGCCAGGAGGCAGAGGCAAGGCTGGCACAGGAAGGGATCACAAAGAAGCTGGAGCAGCAGGAACCCTGGCTGGCTTCCCGCCCTCCGCAGAGCCCAGGGTAGGTGTCCCCACCTCCACCCCCCCTCCTTTCGCACAAGCTTGTGGCTCTCCTGCTTTCCAAAATGTTTGTCCCCTCCCCCAGCACCCCACGCTGTGCACACAGATCTCAGGAACATATGAAGCAGAGGAGGGCTCGGCTGCTGCACTCACAGAGCTCCCTGCTGCACTGAGCGGGCCCAGCGCTAACCTGCCCCCTGAGCCCCAGACCTGGCAGATGCCCTCCGGGCACAGACCCCCTTGGCTCTTCCCCGCCTCGGCCTGGGTGCCCACCGGGGTGCTGCTCCAGGGTCAGTGGTCCACCTGCCAACCTCCCCCCATTTCTGTTCAGCCGAGCCATTAATCTGGAGATGGGGATGAGTTTGCTATCGATTGTTTGGCCACATTTTTTTTATTACATTTTGTACTGTGGTTCTTCTCGCCCTTCTCTGCTTCTGTGTGTGTGTCTCTTTAAGTGTTGGAGCTACCAGAAGCCTGGTGCTATTCTGTTCTCATTTCGGAGGAAGAAGTGGGGGCCTCGCTGTGGGTGAGGACCTGAGTTGTTAGTTTGGAAATAGAGCAAGTGTGTGCACAGCCCTCACAGAGGGCATGTTAGGCCTTTTATGCCATTCCTGTTACATTTCACAATTAATCTTGAGTCGGAAACTGTAAATAAATTTTTTAATAACAAATAGCTAAGAGATGGGGCTGGAGAACAGTGTTGGCCTTCCTCTGCCCTCCGGCGACCTGAGGCAGAGCCCAGGGCCCATTGACAGAGACAGTAGCTGGCTAGCAGGACAGGAGCCTCCTGCAAGCGAGAGAGCCTGTGAGGGCCACCCTCCCCAGAGGCCTAGCCCCCAAGGGCTGAGGGCAGGTGGGCCTGCGTCTCTCCGGCCTCGGGGTCCCTCACGTGGCTCTGCTGTTCTCTGCGTGGCGGCCTGTGGAGGGCATCTCAGCACCCCCTCCCAGGAACCCTCTCTGCCGAGCGCCCTGCTAACAGGTCCTGGACAGCCCGCTTCCTCTGGTTCCTGAGGTGACACATGGGGATGCCCCGTCCCCCACGACACAGCCCCGCTGGGTGAGAGGTCCCCCACCTCTCCCTCAGGCCACACGTCCACGTGCTGCTGCTTCCAAGACACCAGGTTCTGACACTTGTCACCATCTGCCCAGGGCCTCCCATCCAACGGTGTGACTTTCCCATCTCACCGCTCCTGACCTTGGATATCACATCGCAACCAGGTCAAGGCCCAAGGCTGCATCTCACCTAGCTGTGTCTGTTCCGGCCTCCAGGATACAGATGCAGAGGGCACCCAGGACAGAGGGTGCTGCTTGACATACTGGGCCCTCGGTGGCTCCTTGGCAGGGGACTTAAAGCCTCCTCCTCCCTCAGCCAGTGATCGTCACTCGCACTCGGCAGGCTCTGACGCATCCTGCTTTCGGGAAGTGTCCCTTCCCCTAAACCCAAGTCAGCCAGCCCTGTGTCCGCCCCACCCCTGCTGGCCTTGTCCACTTCCTCCTCAGAGAGCTCCGGCCTGGAAAACACTCCCATTGATCCAGTAGCTCGAGGAAGGAGTGCTCCCTCCTGTTCTCTGGCTCCCTCCTTGGTCTACAGCCATAGCCGCCTCCTCTCACCTCCCGCCCCCTCCAGACCTCCATCGTGGAAGCACCGCTGGGATTGAACATTCCAAGGTCACTGGGTAACCTGCTAATTACCAAAGTCCGGTTTCTTGTCTCCTTTCCCATTTTAATGGGTACCCTGGCTCCCCCTTTCCTAGCAGCCCCCGATTAGCCTGGTCGCCCTTCCTCTCCAGCCTCCCCCTCCTTACTATGTGCACCCATCAGCATAGGCTGGGATGCCTATGGCTCCAATGAGCCCTCCAGCCCTCACTGCTTCCCCCTTGTTCTTACCTGTAGACACGGGCTCCTTCACTTGAAGTTAGGACCTGAATGCGTAGCTCTGGCCTTGACCTAAATTCTAATCCACCTGATGGAAGGCAGATCTTGCCAACACCCCAACTCGCACTGACTTTGGGCAAGTCCCTTCACTATGGGCCTGTTCCTTCTCTAAGGGGATTGGAGGACATGGTTTCAAGGGTCCTTCCTTCCAGTCCCTCACACCCCTCCCGTCCTGCTGCCAACACAGACCCCCTTACCTGGTAACTCATTCCTGGTCCAAGACTGGCTGCCTTCCCACTGTCCTGTCTCCTGGCATTCGCTAACACCTGCCCCCGTGGCCAGCCACGCCAACCAATTCCACGTCCTCCTCCTCACTCCCTCTGCTGACTGTCCCACACCCACCCAGCCTCCTGGTATTCTCTGCATGCCCCCTCCCCCTCCGCCCGGACCCCATCCAGGCAGGCTGATCCACTTGTGTCTGATCATAGTGAGTCTTCTGCTCTTGGTCTCTGACCTGGAATGCCCTCTCTTCAAGTTTATATTCCATATTCTCTCTGAACCCTGTCGTATAAGCCTTCAGGCCACGGAGTTCTGAGTTCAAACTTGTGACCTTTGGCCAACTCCTGAAACTCCGTTTTCTTCATTGGGAAATGGAGGTAATAGTAGTTGCCGCCTCACTAGGAAGTCGCAAGAATTAAATCAGATTGTTTGTGAGGCCCTGGGCCAGAGCATGGCACTCTGAACCCTCAGTAACCACCACCACCACCTGCACACGCACAGCGCACACGCCTGTGACCTAGACATTACAATAGCGTTCATTTTCACTCATCTCCAGGCTAACGCTGTGGAGGAAGCTGCTTGGGGCTCTGTGAGTCACCTCCTACGGGGTCCCCACTCTCTGATGGGTGGATTCCCAGAACTATGGAGATCCCTGAGGTGGGAGAGGAAACCTGCACACCCTCCCCCCAGCACGCGTGCCCTCATTCCTGGTTCAAGAATGAAGCTCAAAGGATTGGGGGGCCCCCCCCCCAGGGTTTTGACACCCTGAATGCCTCCAACCCCCTGAGGCAAGGGCTGCAGAGACTAAAGAAGGCGGCCAGTCAGAAAATGGGGGGGGAAGAGGGGAGGGGCTCCCTCAGAGGAATATTCAATCACAAGAGCAGTTCTCCGCTGGAGGAAAGGGCAGACGCTGCTGGGATCCGGGTGAGAACAATGAGTTCCCTGTCCCAGCACTGTGGGCCTTTCTGCTGCTCCCCACTCACCAGCACCGCGGCACCAGGCACAGTCTCTCCCTGCTCTGGGCAGAGTGGGCCCTAGGTCCCCAAGCCATAAAGGAGTCCCTTGGGCCCTGGACTTTCTCCTTGGCACGAAGGCCAGCATGGATGGAGCGGCCCCTTCTGTGCACCAGGCACTGAGGATAAATTAGTCCCGAAGCTCGAGTCCCCGGCCGCTCTGAGGCACATCCCTTCCCTGTGAAGGAGGCTTTTCACAGATAAGGAAACAGACTCAAAGCGGTTGGGGGACTTGCTCAATGTCACAGCCATAACCGAGATTGGAATCCCAGCCCCCGTGCCTGGTGTAGGCCCCACAGACTGGGCTCAGGGCCTGGACATCCTCCGTGGGCAGGAATCGCCACCCGTCACTTTGCCCCAGGACTGAGGCAGCTGAATCCCCACCCCAACCCTTACCTGCAGCTGCTAGACTAGCTAGGTCTTGGCTCGCCATCAACCCAGCGTGGCCCCGTGCAGAAAAACTGGAGGGAACCGGCTATAGGGCAGGAAGAACCAGGAGAAAGCAGCTCCAGAACTACCTGTAGTGGGGCCTAAGGGAGGTCGGGACCAGAGCCTAACAGCTTCCTCAGCAGGAGGGACCCTGAGGGTGACAGCAGACAGTGACCACCAACCTTTACTCTGGGTTCCCAGGCCTCTTGGGAGAAACAGACAGTAGGGCAGAGGGACCCAAGGAGCCCGCCATTGCGGTGGGGTGAGGTGGGTTTAGTGGATGAGGGAACTGCAACAGGCTTCCAGCCTGGGAGAGGCTGCGCTGTGGCAGAGCTGACATGGAAGACAAGAAGGGGGCCTCGGGCTGAGGAGTGGGTTGTGGGCAGGTGAGGGCCAAGATGCCCAGTGGGCCTGCTTCGAGCTGGGAACTCGGGAAGATAAGGAACTCTCGGGGCCAAGGACCATAGAGGGAGCCTCCACTGGAGCTGGGCCAGAATGCCAGAGAGAATCCCTCTGGGGGTCCAGGAAGGTCTCCCCAACAAGAAGCCCAAGGACCCTGGACACAAATGGTAAGGATGTGCTCAGTCTGGGAGGCCCAGGCCACGGATTGGGCTTGCTGTGTGGCCCTGGGCGTGTTGAAGGAGGGGATCCAGACTCCCGCACGCCCAGGGACCTCCTTTGTGAAAGGACAAACCACCTGTCCCTTTGGGAGGCACATGGGATCGGGGCTTCCTGACTTGACCTGGAACTGGGCACAGGTGGGGCAGTACTGATTCACCCCGGTGCTGTGTTGGGGGAGGAGGAGGGGAACAGATGGAGCAGAGGGACCAGTCTCCTCCAGATCCAGGTAAAGGGCAGAGGTGGGGGTAGAGGGGGCCAGAGAGGAGTGGGGCCTGGAGAACGGAGTGCCCCTCTCTGACCAACTACAGGACTTTGGGAAGCTCCAGCAGCTGCTTGGAGCCTCAGTTTCTCCATCTGTAAAATGAGGAGCACAGTCTCTCCCTCCTGGGTAATTGTCAGGGAACATCACACAGTAGGTCCTCATCTCTGAGAGGCCCCTCAGCCCTAAGAGGTTCCCAGAGCGAAGGAACAATGGTCTCCGCCTTCCTGGGCATCTGGGTCTGCAGTGGCAGGTGGTTGGAGGGGAGAGTCACCCGCTCCCAGCATTGATGTCAGTACTAGCGGGAACTCGCCTTCTCACTTCTCCTTAGCCCAAAATAGAACGAGGGGGGCTGCCACCCGCCGCAGGCGGCTCCCCCATTCCTGGGGAGGCCCTGGGTCCTCAGGAAAGCAGGCACCCAGGAAGGGGTTCCCTGCCACCACTCCTCTTCCTCGGTGACCTGTGGTCTCCCAGGGCGGGTTCCGGGAGTCTCTGACTTTGGGCACAAGGTCAGAGCGGGGTTGGGGGCCCTCACCAGGGGTACCCACTTCCACCACCTCTACCCCAGCTCAGTCTGTCAGAGATCCCAGCCCCCGTCAGGGACCCATGTAGCCCAGGGGCTCAGCCGCAGGGCTGGGGTGCAGGCAGTTCCGGTGGTAGGCTGGCAGGGCAGGTGGTTTGTGGGCGCGGCAACCTGGTCCTGCTAGAGAGGGAAAGCTGGGGGCTCCACAGGTACCTTCTGCCCCTCAAAGATTTGGGCTGACAAGGGAGGGGCAGAAATGGGACGAGACAGCAGCATGGGAATGACCTGGCTAGTTCGGAGGATGTTTAGGGGGAAGGATTGCAATGCCCTGTGTGAGGGACAGGGAGGCTGGGCAGGGACGGGGGTCGGGGGGTGGGGGGGGCAATCGTCCTGGGCTCAGGGACAGGAAATCCTGAAGCTCTCCCGGAGGCC